CCCCAAAACCCCAAAACCCCATTGAATACAATTCCAGTAAAAATCTGAAATTTATAATTTAATAAATAACATGTTGTGCAAAATTTTATTTCTCTATCTGCTATCATTTGTTGTGAAAATATCAACTCAGTAACTAAGTAGCCAGGAGGAATTAATAATAAATAGAGTTGGAATACAAAAAGATCAATGTGTGCATGATAATCACCTCAAAAGATATATTGCAAGTAATAATTTTGATGAAGAGAGTCTAAAAGCTCTTACTGAAAATTGTGAAAATTCTAATCACTAATTCTTGAGATAATTAGATTACCGACCAAATAAAAGACCTTTATATGATGAAGTTTCTACATAAATAGGGATAAATAATAATGGACTTAATGGGTTAAAACCAAATAATCAAGGATAAATTAATGGCTTAAATAATTAGTTAGGCAGCGATCAGTCTAGTGGAATGAAAAACAATCAAAATTCTTCGCCAGACACTAACTAATTGAACTCCTAAGATAGTTTTTATGATACTTCCAGTGAAATGAATGAAACATATATAAATTTAGGAATGAGTAATATTGATGGTTATGACGAGAAGAAGAGTATATTTATACACTTAGTCTCTCATTCTCATATGGATGTTGGGTGGAATATGATTCCAGAAGATTACTATAAGACAAAAGTTAAGAGTATATTAAACACAGTTATTGATGCACTTTTTGATAACGAAGAAAGGAAGTTTTCTTTCGCTGAGATTTATTACTTCGAAAAATGGTGGAATGAGCAAGATGAAGTCTAGAAAGACAGAGTGAGAAGACTTGTAAAAGAAGGAAGATTTGAATTCGTTAATGGAGGATGGGTAGCTAATGACGAAGCTTGTCCTACTTTTGAAGATATCATCATAAATATTATGATAGGGCATTCTTTTTTGAAAAGAGAATTTGGAATTTAACCTAGAATGGCCTGGCATTGCGATCCATTTGGCCATTCAGCTACGACTCCAGATCTATTTGCAAAGATGGGATTCGATGCTTTATTTTTCGGAAGAATTGATGATGAGGAGAAGAATTGGAGAAAGGTAAATAGATCCTTGGAATTCATATGGTGACCAGAATTCTAAACTCCAAAAGGGACAGTGTAATCGTAGTAAGGTATATTTACACATATAATGCATTAATAATATGATTCTCCTTGTGGAATTCAAATGTATACTTATACTAGTGATGTTTAATCATTATAATCTGTCTACAAGAATTATCTGAGATAGCATGAGACAAATAAAGAATCAATGGTTCAATGTATTAAAGATTTCGCTTTTCATTATTAGACAAATCACATACTATTTACAATGGGAACAGATTTTACTCATTAAAATGCTAATCTAACTTACTGGTATATTGAAAAAATAATAAGAATTTTAAAAAGCACTTATATAGGGTCTGATTTAAAATTCTACTACAGTACTGTCTAAGAATATTACAATGCTGTATAACAAAGGAAAAAGGAAATGAATTTTGAATGGCCAATCTATAAAGATGATTTCTTGCCATACAACGGAAATTTTCCTTAACATTATTGGACTGGATTCTTTTCTAGTAGACCAGGTTTTAAAAAGCTAATAAAAGATTACTCATCTATAGCTCATTCAAGTTTAAACATGTATACCTCTGATATTTTGACAAGCAATTATTCATTAAATTTGAAAAGTAACTACCCATCAATAGCATTTGAAGTAAAAGATATGCTGAGAAATCTAGCAATAATGGTTCATCATGATACTATAACTGGCACATCTCCAAATTTTGTCATACAAAGCCATGCAAAAAGATTAGACACATCACTTATTACAAATTCTAAAACCTTGAACTTAAAATTTCTTGATAAAATTAAAGTTGATGGAATCAGCTCTGAAGACTTATATCAATGCATCAATAAACTATATAAGAATAAGATATGCCCTTTAGAGATTGGATAATCTTCTCAAATGCTCTTTGTTGTCTATAATCCTTCAGTGAAAGTTGCAAATTACACATAACTTTAGTTTCCTACAAATAAACTGTAGGCATAGGCTTGGGACAAGTATCAAAACTAGTTCATTGATATTGCATATGAAATTATCTGCGCAGGAAGCCCCTTAACTGGCTTAAACTGTGATCTAATAATGAAGCATGAAATTCAACCTCTATAATATCAAATTTTTAGAGTATTCATAGATGTTTTTCATAATGAAACAGCTTATGTTGTAGGTTAAGGTTTCGGAGGTAATTTCAATAATTTTAATATTAAAATATATAGATGTACAAAAAACAATAATCCCTCATGTATCAGTATTTGATACAAAATAGTATAAATAGCTTTGCAATTCCTCTTTGAGCATTTCAAACAATATGATGACTATAAAGATCATAACTTGCACAATGAACTCCTCAATTATTTTCGGTGTAAAATTTAAAAATGAAAGTTAAGAAAGAAGATTTGAATTTGATTTCAGATTTTACACTCCTTATAATGGATATTAATTAAAACCAAGCGGAATCTATGTATTCAAAACAAGTGATAAAGATTCAAGCCCATATGTCCATTCAATCTCTTCCATCTAAGTATTTAGAGGAAAAAAAATGCAATAGTTTGTAATAAGATATCAAAATGAAATGCAACCTCCGTCAATAGTAAAGATAAAACTATTTCATAATTCAGATGAGATCGAATTTGATGTGTTTTTAGCTCGGCTAAATAAAAACTTTAATTCTCAAGGCTAAGATGTCACTATTAATTGGAAATCTCTGGATATTGATTAAAATGGAACCTTTTTCACTGACGCTAATTCTTTTAAGGTTATGAAAAGAGAAGTTAATCAAACTAAGTTCTACATTTACAATATGTGGAATAAATAATTCACAGTTGCATAGGAATTTTACCCAATAACTTCAGGGTTATTTATATCTGATTAAGAAAATAGAACTCACTTTATGGTCTTTAACGATAGACCCTAGGGAGGTTCTGCTTATCAAAAAGGAAGATTAGAGTTAATGATTAATAGATTTGGATTTACAACAGATGATCTTGGTGTCAGTGATCCAATGTAAGATTACTCCATAGATAATCTAGGAATAAATGTCACAGCTAAATTCTGGGTATCTTATGCAAATAATAGATTAGAAGCACTAGAAAAGCTTCAGAAAAGACATTTAAAAAATCAAAACCCCTAAGACACTTTCTATGGAACCTAAGTTAATTTTTAAGAGATTTAAATAAGTGATATAAACAACAAGATAAAATACGCGGCTTTTGAAAAATTTACTAATTAATACTTAATCAAACACATTTAGCTATTGCCTATGAATCAGTTTGAGGATATGTTTCTTTAAGTTACTAGATTCCAAGACAATTAGCCAATAGATATTAAATAACTTTATGATTAGCTATGTTCTTATATCCTACTAGATAATTGTAAGATGATATAGAAACTGTAGCGAGTCCACCTTGATGGTCTTGATAAGTCTGATTAGCAAAAGAATTAGACATTTAAACACAAAGATGATATTTATGTTGTGGAAAACTATAGAATCATAATTTAATGAGTTTTAAATTCAAAATTATAAATCTATGAATACTTCAGAAAGAGGGGTTTTGGGGTTTTGGGG